TCGCCCTTTCGATCGCCCTTGCCCTGTGAAGGAACGTCAAGCGCAGAAGGGCCGAGCGGCATGAGCGGCAGTCGAGCCTCCTTCGGCTCCTCTTTCTTGGCCCACTTCATCCCTGCGGGCCTGCGGGCCTGCGGCCTGCGGGCGACCCCTCACAGAGCAAAAAAAGCAGAGCTATGCAGAGCTATGCAGAGCTATGCAGAGCTGAGCCTCGCAGAGTCGACGTCTTTTTCTTTTCACGAAACAGAGAGAGATTACACCAATTACACACCTGTTTTTCTATTCTGCTGGGGGCTGCAGTGGCGGCATGTGGCGGCCAGACTCCAGACTAGACCGGGAATCTGTGAGGATTCACATTGCTCTGCAACCGTCACATGAGCTCACATGCAGCTAGGCAGCTGAAAGCCATTGGCAACAGGACGCTCAACGTAATCTTGCGGCTTGCATTGAAACGAGAGGACAGAAATGGTAGGTGGCTGAGCTGCCCCCAATGTTTGGACACATTCCTAAACCCGGGCATATTGCAATGTACAGCGTTCTTGGTTCTTGGAGGATGGCAGCATTCTTGCTTAGGGGCTGATTCGGCTCAAGCCTCAAGGACCGACTGTCGTTTCCACGCGACGCAGCTTGCGGCGTGGCGCAAGGTGTGCCTTCCGCGGTACGGGCATCAAACGGTAAATGACCTTTGCAAAAAGCTGGTGGCATAAGGGCTCTCCTATGCTAGATTTGCGCAGCTGTCTCGACGTGTCGTTGATGTTTTGCATGAGCCAGTCGCTGCGTGCTTCAGTCTGGCATGTCGCAAAGACCAAGTTGGATTCTGAACCCTTCTCGTAAACATCTGATGAGCTTGGGGGAGGCGAAATATCAACTGCGCGGCAGTCTTTCTCGCGGCTTGCTCAGGCACATCATGCAGCAAAGAGGAGGCCTTGGGAATATTTCCGATCATGGTGAGAGGCCTGAGGTTAAGCCGACGCTGCACCGGGATTCCATCGAATGTCTTGAGCTTGCTGATTTCTGGCGCCAGCTGTTGCACTCGTGCCATGGTTGCAGACACGTGGCTCTCGGTCTCGCTGTCAAGCCACATGAAGACCCAAAGCACGTAAAGGTATACTCAACAACTCAGATGATTTCGAATCTGCCGCAGAAACCGGTTCACCGGTCCAAGTGCGGCCCCACGTTCAACCCCGCTCCGACGCCGATGTCTTCACTCAATGGCCCTTTGTGCTTTTTCTGTAAGCAGCTTCATTTGTGAGTTTTGCCATTTCTGAGGATTCCTGTAACCTGCAACTCTTCCCATGCCATTCGCCATCGCGCCAAGTGGATTTCAAGGTGTAACTCAAACAATGTCCCTCTCGGCCACAGTGAGGGTATCCGAGTGGATGTCAGCGGGTTAGTTCCTCGTGCTCTGGAAAAACAAGGGCCCCGAGTACGGCCCGCGGACAGTGTTGAGAGATGGGCCAAAGGCATTTGCATCATATGAACCAGTTCGAAGTGTCTTGGATTGCTGAAGGACTTACAGAACTCAAGGAGGCATAAATCTGGTGGTGCTCAGCCAAAACACTGGGTGGTTACAGCGCTTTTCCCTTCTCGCAGCACCCACCCACACCCCACAACTCGGAAACGAAGGCCCCCCACATACAAAAACATCGCAAATGTACATCTCAGGGAAAAACTGGGAAGCAGCATGGGCGAAAAGAAACTGAAAAAGGGTCTAGGCGGGCGGTCAGCCCGCCGGCAAAAAGCATGAGTCGACAACCTCAGTGAGGCTGCGGCAGAAACCCTACTCGGACATGCTTTTCGAACGCTAGCATGGTCAGCCGCGATGAACTTGTTGTCCAATGGGCAGAACCCGCTGGAAGAGATCAGGACTCAGCACTCTGATGCTCGCATCTATCGCTTCAGACGCTGCTGAAAGTCCGCCAGAACCTGCGGGGCCCATCCAGGCAGCTCCAAGCGAGGGGCGAAGGGCGACGAAGGGGAAAACGGCGCCGGGCCGGACCTGGTTCCCCTTCAGCGTGTCGGAGAGCCTCGGGAGCCGACGATATGAGAAGTTACATCTTTATAAAGTGGGCTCAGCCTTTCCGAGAGCCTTTAAAGGCCCCTTCAGCGCCCGGCGCCGAAGCGGACTGCAACACTTCCGGCACGAGCTCTCGGAGCTCTAGCTGCTCCTCGCTCTCCGACTCATTCCGACTCTCCCACTCCCTCCCTCTCGGGCACTCGTCACGTTCTTCCCCTCACCTTGCTGAGCTCCCCAGTCTGCGGCAACTTGAGCCACGCCTCCGGTCGCTCAACGAGTGGAACTGGCAAGAACTTCGTGTGTTCATGCCAGAATTTTTGATATGTTCATTGAGATGCCACAAAACCGATGGTGAAACCCCTCGGATGCGGAACCGGGAACCGGTAGGGGCTGTCCCAAACGTGCAACACACGCCCAAGCTTCCGACGTCTCCGGCGGCCAGGAGGCAAGCTGCCAGTTTCACCGCCACGGCAGGATCCCGCAGCACCTGGAGTGCCCAGGCAGTACTCTGTGTACCATCTCAAACGGAAGCTGGACTTGACGCAAACACGGCCTCGGTGGCTGTAGTGCCCTGGCGACATGTCTGAACATTGCTTAAGAAGATCAATGCTGTGATGAGGAGCTGCAAACGACAAAGGGGGAGGGGGGTGGTGAACCCCTGCATGATTTTCGCTTGCATCAGCGCTCATGTGCTCGAAACTTTCCGTACAGATCAATAGCCTGAACGAGTCCCATCTGTCGACGAAACACGTAGCTGTTAGTGCCATCTTGGCCAAAACACTCTTGCGTGTGGCTTGAGACTCCAGATGCAATCCAACCATTTCCGGAGGAACTTTCACCTAAGTTGGCATCCATAACCAGTCAGGTTTCGTCTTTCCCACCTTTGCGCATCAGACAATGGGCGGGTGGGTCGGGCTCTGATTTCCATGCACAAACATGTGCATCTCACTTCACTGAGTGCTTCAACGCGTCGCATGAGATCATGTGCTTTTGAGGTGTGTTTACCATCGGAAGTTTTCGGTACAAATCGCTAGCCTGAACGAGTCCCACCTAATCGTGGCTGTTGGTGACTGTTATTGCGATCTTGGCCAGTCTACGTCGAGTCTACGTTCGATCAAGGTATTTGGATGTTTTTGGTGCGTGGCTGCCAGCGCGCTGCTGCCACGAGCTGTTGCCGGCGAGTTAATGTGGTCTCGGTTGTGAATTGGGATTTTATGATGTTGGTCGTGGTGACATGTCCATGCAGCATGCAGCACTTCTCGTAAAGCTTAGCTGTCGGGATCGAAAGACTTGGCGGTATGTCGTGGTTCTGGCAGCCGCTGAGTGCAGGGACCCCATCCCCGGCCGCGGGACCTCCCTGGATCTCATCTTCCCACCAGCTTGGAACAGGAATGCGCCCATGGCCACTCGCGAGAAGCTCAGGGATCCCCTGAGGCAGAGTCTGGGAAACCTCCAAGCAGCCAAGCCTCCAGGACGTAAGGACCCAGCTTTTTCTCTCCGGCAGGCTCTGTTATGCGAAGATCCAGCAGGATGTTGCGATTCTGCTCCTCGGCCCAAGCTTGGTCCGAACGGAAGCAGCCTGAGACCTTCTGGAAGGGCACATTCTCTGCGATGGCCCACCGCAAAGAGTCAGCACAAAGGCCAGCCACCTGCAGGAAGACGGACCCCCCATGAACAAAGTGCGAAGATGGCACTGGCGCCTCTGCATCGGTGTCAAAGTGCCACAGCACAGCAACCTCAAAGGCAAGGCAGGCCCCTGTGGCCAAGGGAATCGCTGCTGCCGCTCGGTGTCAGACTAGCGCTCTGATGCCAATCTGTCCGAGGCCTTCATAGGCGGTTCATAGGTCACCCAACGTCAAACGTCATCAACGTCCAAAAACGAGCCGAGGGAAGGACCGCAGCGGGCGTAGTGGGAGATGCAGAGCTGCAGCAAACATCACGCCCCAGGCTTTTTCGGAGAAGCGAGACGTTACGGCTCAACAGGCCCAACCCTAAAGACGATACCCTTCCAACACAGCGGCAAAGCAAGCGCAATCCTACGAACGCGAGTGCCAGTGGCGAGCCCTTGCCTTGGAAGATAACGACTCCAAGAGCTCCAGCACCTCCCACGAGCTTCGCCCCCCCCCCTGCACCCTCCTGGATTCTGGGTGGCCAAGGGGCCGACCACATCTCGGGACACCTGTTGCGGGCAGAGAGGGGCCGAGAGGACAGAGCCGCAAGCGGGCGACCTCGGTGCGCAGCTGCTCGGCCTTGTCCGCCTCGAAGACCTGCACAAACAAACAGAAGGCACCCTGTCGCACATCCTGAAGGACACATCGAGTGCTGTTGTCACACTCACTTCGGCTTGATGACACGGCTGTAACAGCCACCGGGGGTATCGAAGGCGGATGCTGACATTACATGACTTCACGGATCGAAGTGTGGCATTCGCTCTAAAGTCTTGGCCCAGAAGTTTGAAATGTCGGCTATTGTAAACTGTGTTTTGTGATGGCTCATGACAGCAAGTGGCTTCCGCAGACACTGACATACGTGCATGTGGAAGGGCTATGCTACAGTTGGGCACGCACAAGCAAAGTCTCCATCATCAACTTGTCATAAAACCCTGTGAGGGTGTCGACTGGTCGAGAACTCCCGCGGCAACCGCCATGCGTAGTTCGGGCTCCAAATCTTCTCGGCCTGGCCTTGGCCTGGGGCTACGTCTCTCCCCGGCTACCTCCGTCCTCCTCCTGCGTCCATTTCTCTGGGCGCGCATCCGCGCCAGCTGCCAGCTCCGTGCGACATCGGCGGATGTCGTCCCAACCTCCCAACCTTTGGAACCTTGCGCTTCTGTGCTTCCACTTTGGAGTCCCGAGCTGCGCAAGGCCAAACCATGTGCACGAGGAAGTGACTCAGAGGCGGGGAGTCTTTCGGGAACCGGGCTTGAGCTGCATCGAGCAAAGGGTGCGTGTGCAAAGCTTGACGCCCCACACCTCAGCAGCAAGCTCCATGCCGGCCGAGAGTGCCTCCACCCACCTGCAATTTGGGGACCGAACTTTCCGGTTTGGCGGACCAAACTTCGAACCTATCGGAAGCTCGGAGCTGGGCATGGGCGTGTTCTCGCCACAGGACTTGGCTTGCCTGTCTCGCGTGGCTCGGGCTGCTTTCGACTTTAGAGCCTCTGGCCGTGGGACCTCTCGATGTCCGCCTTCTGGAGATTGTTCCGCTTTTGCCATGCCTGGTCAGACCACAGGCGTCACCAAAAGATCCCCCCCCCCCCCCCCCCCCCCNNCCCCCCCCCCCCCCCGCCTCGGCCTCTCGGCCTCGGCCCGGCCTCACTGACGTACTCCTGATACCAAGCATCGATGCCGCTGTGCTCCTGCAAGCGGAAGCCCAGGAGGCCGACCACACCCCCCACGGCAGAGGGCAGAGGGGGGCCTTCTTGGCCAGGAGCTGCTGGTAGATCAACTCAGACACCTGCCCGTGTGGCACATGCCCAAAATGGTCTCCCGTACTTGTTGGCCCCCAGTCCCTGCAGTCGCTTTCACTTCGCTTCATGTCTCATCCGTACCGTGCGGAGGCTCCTCCGAACCAGTTCTCGGCCCTCGGCGTCACGTGACGAGTCATACGTTCTCAAGAGTCTGCCCTTCTGCAGGCAAGGCACGTGTCACTGTTGCGGATTGTTAGACTTTGGGTAGTGGTGTATTCCTCGAAGGCTTCGGGCCCATTCTCCCTGCCTCGGATTGCAACACTGACATGCGCACGACATAATTTCACGTTCAGAAGCTGTGAAGCCTTGCTGAAATGCACTCAAGTCTCCGATGCCGCTCTGGCCGAAGCCACCCCAGGGACTCGAGGGGTCGTTGCGGTGGTGGCAGTTCACCCAGCTGAGCCCACATCGAAGCTTGCGAGCCACACGAAGGGATTTCCGCACATCCTCCGTCCAGATGGCACCCCCCAAGCCGTACTGCGAGGCATTGGCCAGCGCCAGCGCATCCTCTTCAGCCTCGAACTTCGACAAAGAGACCACTGGACCAAAGATCTCCTCAGCAAAAGCGGGATTGCTTGGGCTAACCTCAGAAAGCACGGTGGGTTCGAAGAAGTGTCCGGTGTCGGCAAGCTCACAGCGATCTCTTGGAGGTCTCTTTCCCCCGGTCAAAGCTTTGGCACCGGCCGCGATGGCACGCTCCACTTGGCTTTCGATCCTTTGGAGCTGTTTTTTGGAGATCACCGGGCCGATCTCCGTCTCTGTCTTCAACGGGTCACCGAGCCGGAGCTGCGCGGCTTTCTGGACGAGTCGCTCTTTAAATTCCTCGAAGATCTCGCTCTGAACCAGGATCCGCTTGCCGCTGACACACGTCTGCCCGGAAGCCACGAAGGCAGCGAAGGCCACCCCATCCACAGCCTCTTGGACACTCCGCGTGTCCGAGAAGACGAGGATGGGCGCATTGCCGCCCAGCTCGGCGCAGTAGGCGCGGACGCGTCCTGCCTCGGCCATGGTGCGCTGGATGAGCAGCCCCGTCTCCGTGCCGCCTGTGAAGTCCACGCGCTCCACGCGCTCGTGCCGCGCCAGTGCGCCGCCAGCTTCGGGACCTCAAAGAGACAGCGAAATGTGAGCACAAAACAGACAAGTCAAGCAGGCCATCGTGGCTGGGGCAGAACCCGTCCCGCTTTTTTTTTAACCCCTTCGCCTTAAAATTGACTCCCCTTCCTGACCTCTCCCTCTTTTCGCTGACCCCTGCCTCTTGTGTCTGACCCACCCTATAGAGTCTACCTCACCCTCTTGAACAACCAAAATGCTCGTCGGAAATGTGTGTTTGTTCAACAGGGTTCTTTATTTATCCAATGAGGGGAATTGAAAGTCATCCCAAGTCGGTGTCCAAAACAAGAGGCCAGACGGAGAAGGGGTGAAATGGGAGAGGGGGGGTCAAGAAAAAGATCGGCGGTCCAAAAAAACGTCTCGTCCTGTCATACAACTCGGTTTTTGTCGGGCTCCGTGCCTTCTCCGGGCAGTACCTGGAGGACACCGGGTGGGAGCCCGCTTTCTTGCAAGAGCTCGGCCAAGCGCAGCACCGTAAGGGGCGCCTCGACGGGTGGCTTAACCACCACCGAGTTTCCTGCAGCCAATGCCACCGCGATCTTCTTGGCCGCGATGAGCATGGGATGATTCCTCGCTGACACGACCGACTTCTGCACCCACGCAAAAAGTTTCGGGTCTTGACAAATGGTCGAGCGGGAGAAGCCGCAAAGCGCTACGAAGACTGTCAAAAAACAGATGCACCGCGTATTATGACCTTTTTATGAGCTTGATCATTCAGGCTGCCAGGGCGTGAACATTGCAAGTTCGGAGTGAAGGGGTATCTGAGTATCATGAAGGAGCCACACGAGCGGTTTTTTTCACTCTCTCTCTGGGATGTTGGGCAGCGCACACTTGGAGCACACTCGGATTATAATCTGTACAGGACAGCTCTTACTCGGGGTCCGTCTCTGCGGCCTCGGTCGTGTCATCCGGAATGCTTGCGATACCACCCGAGAAAACTTTCGTTGTGAATTTGCGTTGTGCCATCTCGGCGAGAAACTCGTCCTTGCCCATAGCCGACGTCTCTGCGAACAGAGCCTTGAGGTACGGCAATGCATCGGCGAGGTAGATCTCCCTTGTCTTGTCGCGTGCTCCCAGAAGCAGCTCAGGCTTGTGCGTCAACATAATCTTATGAATCCTTCCCTCAAACTGTATGGCATGTAAGCTTGAAGATACCAAGCAGATCTGAAGCGCACAGACCAGAGACAGCTTTGGCTCTACGGCCAGCAACTCCAGTTGATAGGAATGGAAGCGTTGAGCGAAACATGAGGAGCGGGTAGTCCCTAGCCAAGGCTCGTACAGAA